TGAGGGCTTCCCTTTCAGCTGCAAACACCTCAGTGGACTGGGGCTCTTCCTCCAGTTCTACTAGGTATTCGTGACGCGTTGAAAGCTGATGCTGGATACACCTCTGGAAAACTCGTGTATGGGACCACTCTTCACCTACCAAGTGGATGTTTCCCCTTCAACTTTCGAGCATGTTTTCGACGCGGCATCGTACGTGACTGGGCTTACAAATGCAATGCGTCCAGTTAGGCCTTCTCCGGTTAGACCTCAAACGACTAATGTCTTCGTTCACCCTAGTTTACAAAAGACATCACACGTGTTCATTTGCCATGACGCCGTTCGTCGACCACTCGAACCACCCTATGACGTGCCATTCAAAGTGATCAAGCGACATGAGAAATTCCACATAATCGAGCGAAACGGACGTGAAGATACTGTTAGTATCGACCGTTTGAGACCAGCTTATTTCAAAGGCAACCCCACTACGAGTGACGTTTCAGCTCGCTACAGTCAACCGACGGATGGCCCAATTATCGAAATTCTTGACGATGTACCTGGTAACGCACAGTTACAACAACCATCGGTGCCACAAAAACACGATCAGGTTGAACAGTTAGGTTCCCGGTGTATTTAAAGTGGTATTCAACTTAGTGGTGTGAAATAAAGTGTGCCAACCATATTTCTTTAAATAATTCAAATTTTTTCGGGGCACCATTTTTCTTACTTACCGGCAATGCGAAACTCCTCTTACACTTTGCCCTTTTATGTCAATTTTTTGCTACTACCACGTGGTGAAGCATTTTTTAAAAGCGTAAACTTTATTTCTATTTTCACGAAACGTTTTCGCGGTATTAAAGACCTTTGCTTATATTCCAGGTGCAACGAGCACTGGACGGAACGTCAAAGGAAACCGAGGACGGTGTTCGACGTACAGTTCGATTTATTGTATTTTATTTTTCAATTGCCACGACACCCTAGGATAAATTTAGACAACCAGGGCTGCTTTACGCAGTGAGCCCGTCGGAAGAGTTTCACCAGTGAAGAAACCAGTGGGTTTTTACTTAAATGAATTTTTGTTCTCACATTATTAATTAACATGAGAGAAGCCGGTTTACAAGCATCATCACATTGATATGTGTCGAAAAATCTACAAGATTTTATGGGTCCTGAATAGTACAGAGGAGAGGTCATTTGACTCCATCAAAAACATCAGATTGTGGCTACGGGACAAAGAATATACCACTTTCAGCATATGCAGTGCGTTAAGGTGAAGATAATAAAAATTCCCATTCCCATATAATGGATTTAACATGACAGATACCAGTTCACAAGCACCGTCAAAATGATTTTGAAAGTTTACAGAATAATGCCGGGAATCATATCACTCACATAGCAAGTTACTGATATGCATAAACTTATTAAAACTTGCTGCAAACCAAGGGACGGGTATGGATTTCCATCCGTCATTACTCAGATAGGTTCCACTATCAACGACGAAAGCGCGCAATGTTCGAAGTTTGCGTTATAACCAGATGGCATTGTTAGTCCATCTGTATAGTTTCTTATTTAGTAATATAAACATCCATTCACTAGAAAGTTCTTCAGTTTTTAGCTTTACTAACCACAAAGGGCCCATTTATACCATCTGGAGTATCAGTAAGTATCCACAGTTATATAGCCAAGGTGAGTGTCTAAATCCATGCATTTCCAGTTCACCATACGGTTTAAAGGTAGTACACATCAATTCCACTGGAAGTACTTCTAGTAGTGGATGAAGGTGGACGTTGGGACGGTTAATAGTCCAGACAGCAGCAGTTATATATGGCCTTCAGGCATCGTTCATATTAGCGTGAGAAGCATCATTCGAGAAGTGTATTTGATGCGTGGTAACTTTTACTTGAAAAGATCACTTGATACAGAGTCCTAGAGAACATGTAGTGTGGAATTACTGCAGGTAAGTCACATTCCGAGCCAATAGGTATATTGGTCTCGCGTTAGATCATTTTTTCAGAACATTTGTGCCGCTATGGCTGTTGGGAAACTTTAGACGGTTCGTCGCAATAAGAATCCTGACCAACTGATGAGTTGATTGTGAAGATGTTCCAGAAGCCGCGAAAGATTGGGAGCAGTTCAGTATTTCATGGAGCAAAACAGCAGGTATTATTTCCACTTAGTAGATGTGGGAAAGGGAATTACCACTCAGACCAGCTTGAAAAGGAGAGAAGTTCCTATACTTTTAGACCTATCCGAACTTTATGTACATTTTCATGTATGTATGTGTAATTAACCGCATAGTTTTTCCATCATAAGATTCTCAAAACTTTTCTACACTGGTGAATGGTAGTAGCTTTGAGAGGGAACCAGTGTACATAAGTTCATTATAATGAGGAGGGGAACCAGTGCTCACACTCTTGTAAGCAATCACCAACCCATAAGTGTAGGAGAAACACGAGGGCTGTAATAGCTCTGTTCCATACATTTAGATGCCGAGGCATATTCTCATTAGCCCAGGATGCATAGATGGTGGCCAGTTGAGCGATAGACTTGCCGTTTGTTAGTAGCCTATTAAATGAAGAGCGGAAAAGTGTCAGCGAGCTTGCCTTACGAGTTTTTTCTGGAAACCTATTCCAAATGTGAGAATTTATTGAAGAAGAAATTTTCCCGCAACCTCGCCGTACAACACTCAGTTTCAACTAATACTTTGTGGTTGCGTATATCGTACGTAGACGTTACAATTAGCTTGACTTTTAGTCAGTGAGAGTGCAAGTGCTGGTGAAGTAACTTCTAGTGAAATATGAGGTCCAGTTCAAGTCTCCTCTTCCAGAGTGGTCCTAACCCCAACATGTCACATCTGGACGTGTAGTCTAGATTACAGTCAGTTCCTAATGTTCTGAAAGTGAAGTAACGTTGTACCCCTTCGACTTTCAGTTTGTCACTTAATTAATAAATAAATGTTTTATTCTCAGGTTTAAAAAGGTTTTAACATGAGAGAAGCCAGTTTATGGGCTTCATCACGTTGATACATCCCAAATAATCCACAAGACTTTAGCCCTTAGTGATACTGACGGAATGTCATTAAACTCAATCAAAGACCACCGAAGGTCCTGCTAGTTATGAAACGAACAACGAAACATTACTTTACAGCTTACACAGAGTGTTAAAGTTTAGATAATAATAAATATCGTCTTCATTTAACGAGATTAACAAGAGAGGTACTAGTTTACAAGCACCATCAAATTCATAATTTTTGAAAGTTCACGAACTGGTATCTAGTATTGAATAGTTTACATATCAAGTCATTAGTGTGCATAATCTGGTTAAAATCTGCTGAAATTCATGAGACGGATATAGATTTCTACCTTCCGTCTCACAGACAAGTTCCATTGTCAATATCAAAAGAGCGCAATGCTCAAAGTTTGCGTTATAACCAGCCGACGTTGTTAGTCCATTCGCAAAGTTTGCTAATGAGTAATATAACAGCTTATTACTTGGAATGATCTTCAGTTTTTAGCTTTGCTAACCACAAAGGACCCACTTATGCAGTCTGGAGTATCAATAAAGTATCCACAGTTATATGACCAAGATGTATGGCTATGTATATAGCCATGGCATTGACATCAATGCATTTCCAGGTCACCATGTTACGTTTAAAGGTAATATAGAATAATTCTGCCAGGGATACTTGTTGTATTGGATGGAAATAGGTGTTGAAACAGTCAATAGTCTGAATGGCAGTATTTATACATGGACTGCGGGTATCTTTTGTATCAGCATAGGCGGCATCATTCGAGAAGTGCTTGATGCATAGTAAGTTTCATATGAAAAGCTCTCTTAGTAAAGAGTACTAGAAAATGTGTAGTGTGGAGCCATTGCAGGTAAGTGACGTCCTGAGCCAATATGTAAATTGGTCTCTGGTTTAATCATCTGTTCAGAATGTATCTGCTACTAATACTGTTGGGAATGGTCAGACGGTTCGTCACGAGAAAAATCATGACCAGTAGGTGAGTTAATCTTGAAGAGAGTCCAGAATTCGCGAAAGAGTGGGAGCAGTCAATAATTGTTGGCGTCAATGAGCAGGTATTATTCCCATAAAATAATCATGTTCAGTACTGAATTTGAACGTCAAATGTCGACTTGCAGTTGTTTCTGCAAATGGAGAAAGAAAGAAGAAGCACGAGCAGATATGGAAAGAGAAGTTACTACGCTATCAAATTTGGAGTACAGAGAAGTCCCCATTCTTTTTTTTAGCTAACCGGACTTTATGTACATTTTCATGTATATGTGAAGTCTACTACATAGTCCTTCCATTACAAGGATCTTAAGTTGTTTTTTTAGGGGGGGTATACCGTAATGGCTTCGAGAGATGAACAGTATTCTTTAAGTTCATTATTCGGAGAGGAGCAAGTATTCACACCCTCTTATGTAGTAGTAAAGCCATCTGCACTAAAGGAACTGGAGGGCTTCAATAAACACCGATTCTTACATTTAGAGGTCTGGGTACGTTCACAGTGGACGCAATGGTTTGAACATTGTTGTGTACCGATTGCTCCACTATGCTTCATATTTGTGATGAAATTTATGATATCTGTGAACTGCAGGAAATTCACCGGGTAGACGTGTCGAAAGCCGAAATGCAGACATGCAAGAGCGAATAAAACGTGGAAGCTCATTCCATAATTTGCTGTACTGTAACATAAAGGATCGTGACCTAAGTTTAAGGCGGTGCTTTTCTACAGGTACAGTACATTCCACGATTGCGTAGACTATATGAAGATATAGGCTTAAAAGTAGGAGCGCAACGGGCGGAAAAAATAGGTTAAGGTTGAGCTTAGGGCATCTTAGCCAAAGTGGGTCAATTCTTGGTTTCTTACACCTTCCCTTCATAGTCAAGTTCTTCGTGACGACCCAGTACATAGCGGGTGGAAGTTTCTTTGAACATGCTCAATTAGATATTCTATCCGAGGCATACATAGTGCTGAAGATCATTGGTTGTGGAATATGTTCCTGATCCTAAAGTGGATATGTTTCAGGTAATCTTATTATTTCTCTCCTAAGTACTTATCTTTCGTGCTGTGTAAATACGTTTTGTATAGTGTACTGTATACTCTGTATGTAGTAGTAATAATAATAACAATAATAATTGCTCTATTCCAAACAATATGTATGATACAGAATGGAATCATCAGCATGTAATTTTTCGAAAAAGTCGCTGACAGAACAATATTTTCAGACAAAATGGTTATTGTATCTGAACGATGTTATTAATTCAAATCAATGAGGTAAAACAGCCAACCATATTGAGGAATCCAGAACGTAAGTTTACTGGTTGTGTTTCATTCAGCCAGTACAAGAATGTTCAACTCAAGCTAAGTATCCGTGGTATATAAGTATTATATACTTTTGCGCACTGAAAAGTCAACTGCCATATAAAGTGTTCTTTTTTCTGCTTTTTTATTTAATCGAGAAACGGCGAGTTGAAAACATTTTAAAAATGTACAAGAGTACATGATACGTTCAGAGAACATATTTAAATGATTAAAATGAAAGATAAAAATTTGACATATATGTTGGGTGGGAAGTTCTTGTAACCCGAGGTCCAAGCAGGTCGCAGCTAATCATCGAAGCAGTAGTAGTAGTAGTTGTACTCTTCGTTAAATCCCAAATGGATCGTGCTACCTGAATACAGAACTATCTTTCCTACTTCATGTCAGAAAAACGTGTCGGGAGGAATTTATCCTTTCCAAACGGTTTCACGTCATTGATTCATGGATCCACTAGTTGAATATAACCATAAAGCCAAGGAGTTACAGAAATAGTGAACGGAAGTTTTCTGTGTAATATGTATAAATAATTAAATGTGGTGATAAAATTTCTGCCAACAAGCTTAGCACTAAATATTTAATGAATGAAATGTCAAGCATAATGTTTAGTTTTTCGTGTAAACTACTGCAAGAGTTTATAGAGTTGTAGTATTGTAGCACGTGGTAATAGATCTGAGCTCATATTACCGTTACTTGTAAGTTCTGTGCACAGAAAACGTGTTTAACTTATTCGATATCTGACCACCCTTTTAGTTGTGAAAAGTATCATTGCTTCCACAGTATGAAAACTTTATTCGTACCGTACTGAGTTTTACTCCTAAAAGGCTAGATGTGTCTGAAACACCCTACTTATTAATATTCGTATAAACATGCTCTGCTTAAGGAGGAGCAATTTCGTCTTCATTGATTGTAATGTAATTTGTTTGACTTTAGAATTGTTTAAGTGGTAAGACGTCAAGTAGCTCATTGGCAATTGGTTGTGTTTTCAATCGATCCTGAAAAAGAATAATTTATGGTCTTTTCAAATTTGTTAAAGGTAACTGATTTACGATTTACAATTCTGTTTAAAGTTTATGATTTCATGTACGACGGGGTGTAGGTCTATGGACAAAACATTTACCTTTCATTTTAGTGTTGTCGCGTTTATGAATGGTTAAGTCACACTCTATTAACCTGCTAACTATCTCTGTTCATAAACCAACACCTAAAGATATGAGCCGAGGTATGCTACTATAGCTTGACTTTGAAACAGTATCACTACTTCCGCAGTTTTTTTGCGTTACAGACAATGATAATAAGAACAATACATTTGATTGCACATCTCAACTTCATGGTTACTTGTTTAAGTTTGAGGAGGGGAAAAAATCCCCTGATAGGTAAATCTCGGTCGACATTAGTTGGTCATGTAACCTAGAATTTCCTTGAGTCACAATCTATCTGCTTTTATCTCTATAGCATATAAGCCATATATATATCGGTGTTGTTTAAACAAACATTCTTGTACTAATTGATAGATTGGTCGAAGCACTGACGATCACATCGATTTTGTTATATCTGAACCAAGACATTCAGTCAACCAAAATCGTCAGTCTTTAACTCATAATGATGATGATGTTGATGATAACAGTAATACGAAGTGTAATGATACTCCTTTAAAGGACAATAACCTTGGGAATTATGAAAGTGCTGTTTCACGTTTCGCCTGTCGTATTCACATTGATCGTGATCCACCCTACACTGCTCGCCTTTATGCTGCTGGATTCGACGCCTCCAACAATATTTTCTTGGGTGTGAGTGAAATACTAATTTTTCATACTTTTTACTCTTAGTAATTAGTAAATTGATTAACGGTTGCATAATTTATGATTTCGATTGCATATACAACAAGTTTGAGCTCAGCTTCACTAATCCTTGTCCAATATCCAGATGAAAGCAGTCCAAAATCAAGTGGTGATTTTCTTTTTTGTTATTGACCTGACTTGTCATTAGTATAATCACAATGAAGTTGATTTAAGGTCTTAAGAAGTTTCTACCTCATTCAAGATGCGTTTTTTCCATCTACCTATCTAAATGATAACTGGTAATTTTATACAGTTTCAAACCGAAAACGTCAGTCTGTAAGGCAGCGTTACAAACCCGAAGTGTGTAGATTATAATGGGTAACTCTAAGATTGACTATAAAGACCACCCTGTAAAAAAATGAAATGAGCAATTAGACTTCTTTATTTGGTAAAAAATTGCCTTTCCAGATGAGAGAAAGAGAGAGTTTTTTTAAAGTCATCCTAGCAACTACTGAGATAGCCCACTAAGTTTCTTTATTTTATAGAAAAACCACCTTCCTAGGTGAAATATTGAAACCTAATTGGTTATTACAGTCAAAATCGAGTCGAATCGCACTCAACAACCGTGTGCATATTCGTGTAGTAGGCAATGAGCTAAACCTGTTGTATCAGGGCTAATTATATTACCTGGCTGACCAAACCTTGGTAATTGGGTCAGTGTTCGAACCCGTAACCTACTGGTTGAAAGTCACATCCTCAAGCCAGTAAGCCACAGCTCAGTAGTTGGTAAAATGACCTTTAAAGTTATTCATTATGACACTTGCTACAACATTGTATTTTCCTTTTTACCACTGTTAATATTATGATGTTGCTGGTACATTTTAGTCCAAACAAGGGCTTGCAAATGAAATTTCTCGGTTGAATTTCACGTGATTCTGACAGTTTTATATTGGACTGTTGAAGGTCTTGTAGACACCTAATAGTTTTGTTGTTCTAAACTTGATGATTACCAGTTGTCCGTTTTATCTAAGATTTATATCAGTATCTTGTTTTTAGTTGAAATATCTGGGTAATTTATTGTCAACTAAATGTATCCAATATTTTTGTAGTGGTTCAGATTAGTTTGCCTTACACCCGCTTTTTGTTGTCCTAGTTAAATCTACTAGGCTTATTTGCATTTCAGTGACATTCTAAATGAAATTTCATCTTATCGAAACTTGTAGTGCTGTAGACTTGGTTTTTGAATAAACCATAGTTATCCATATGCGAGTTTATGATCATTAATTAAATAGAAGTTTATAGAAGGAATTGTGCGTACTAGGTTTATTTCACTAAATATTATGAGACTGTAATTAACGGAAACACCACGGCATCACCGGGGCATTGTGTTAATAATGATTCTCTCTCTCTCTCTCTCTCTCTCTCTCTCTCTCTCTTCATCCAAATAAGTTAACACTGCAAGGTTACCAACATTTTTTTGATCCATTGCATAAGTTTCAATATAGTTCCAGTGTGTTTAGAAAATCAAAACACTATTTTTTTTTATGAACTTTTCACTGTGTATACCGTAGCTTCTTCAGCAGATTACTTGGATTTCGGTTAATCATAGCAAGTTTATAAAAATCCGAATGATCTGCTAGAAACACTTTGGCATACACTACGAAACCTACAGAAAAAATGTTGTTTTGATTTTCTAAACACTCTGGAAGTATGTTAAAGCTTACTTACATGATGATTAAATCAGACTCGGTGCTCAAATTCTTCCAGTATATTCGTAACCACTGAATGCTTATGGTTTTTAAAATCTTCCATGTGTAAACCATGTCCGAGAAACTTCTCAAGTCCAATTAAGGTCGTTGTTTCTGTCTTTACTTTAAATAGATAACATTGTTGCGAATTTCATTCGATGTTTGTGAAGAGAAATTAAAGCATTCACCTGAAGTATGTTGGTCACATTTTACACAGGATATACTAATCAGTATGAGTTCAAAACACGCCTGAAAAATAACATCTGATAGTATTCTCTTCTATCTCTCCTCCATTTGATTCATCTACTTTGACTAATGGGATCACCGATCCAGGAATCGTACTCGACCAGTTGGTGACAGGTACAGGTACTCCGTTCACTCATGCTTTATTTGATGAAAATTCAGTAGATAGACCTAATAAATCCACTATTCCGAAGCGCAGAATGACGCAGCTTTTTTTATACTCATGATGTTTTGTTGTTTTGATTCTGAACTGAACTAATCATTCTCTGCTGCTTTACAACCTCTTTAAACGGATTCCACAACATTGTCTTGGAATTCACCTTGATGTCATTTGTTTGATAGTCATAAGAAGTAGATTCCAGGACGCTTGTTTTATCTAGTTGTTCACTTGGTAGCTGAATGTTTCTGTATGGATGTTGATATTCCCCACAGGAACTGGAGCTCTGCTTCCATTGTCTCCTGATATGCTGCTTTGTTATCCTACCAGATTATTGAATCATAAAAGTCGAACACAAATAAGTCTAGATCCACCTAATGAGTCTCAGATATGAGACAAATGAATGTACCATTGATGCAACTATTAGTCTATGACTGTTGAAAGATATGGTTTCAGAAAGCAAACGACTAGCACTTACTGCATTTCATTGTTCTAGCTATCTGACAAACAGATAAACTTTGAATACTTCTGAAATATGGTTTACTCTCTTACGTTACACTGGAAAGTTGTTTGTTTATATTACAAAGGAGGCCTTAACAACCGTCACTTTATATGAATACACTGAAAAACATCTATAATTTGTTCATTCAGTAGTCCCGGATTTCTAAAGATAAGTAAACTGTTCATTATTTACGTGTTGTATAAACGCACATGTTTACCCATACCGGACTCGCTTTTTTATTCAGTCATCATTGTATTGACGAAGAATAAGCAAACTGATGTCTAAGTAAGTATCCAACCCCTCTTTTCTTATTATTCTACAAATTTTCAGCACCATAATTTCTTCCCTTCTTTTCTCTACTAATCTTAGTTTCTTTTTAACTTGTATACAAGACGTGCTTTTTCTTTATGCCTTACCTAATTCTGAACAAGTGAAAACTGGGTTTCAAAAAAAGTAGTAATAATCATAAGCTGTAGTCTTCACTGTTTTTGTTATTGTGTTCTATTTTCTTATTTTTTGCATTATCTTGCTGTTTAAACTGTGACTCTCTTCGGTATGTGATTTCAACGTTTCTAGCTCCATTCCACTGTGACTGTTTTGACCTCTCTATGACTAATATATATCCTAAAAACACTGTTATCCATTCATACCAACAGGAAGCTAAACAAAACACTAGGTGACTGAAATCATACTAGAAATCTGGCTAAGTAGTACATTAAAGCTGACAAATAACTAGACCGACATTCGACTTGAATCCATATGCAGCTGAAGCTTCCTTGCTTGCTTGTTTCATTTTTTTCTGAGGACATCTTTATCTCCTGAACCAATCAACCAATAATGTCTGACTAATAATTTCCAACCGCATACGTCAAACTGGGCCACCTTTAGTGCCGTCGCTGTCAGACCGTAAAAGGTCGGGGGTTTACAACGCTTCGATGCGAAAAATTCTGCTCTGCGCCTGTGAAAGCTGGTCTCTCCGAGTTGATGATATGCAACGGCTCTGTGTGTTCGATTGCCGTTGTCTCAGTAGGATTGCCCGTATCCGGTGGCAACACCATGTAAGTAATCCTCAGGTACGACAGCGTGTGTTTAGGCATGATCGAGATCGTCATTGAGTAAGTGAAGTCATCTGGAAACATCAGCTTCAGTGTCTTGAACATATATTATAGATGTCGTCCCAATGGCCTCCACACTGTCCATTGTTTGTTAACCCTGGGACTGGCTGAAGGAAGCAGAGAGGGGGTCAGTGAATGACGTGGAGCCGTGAGATCAAGGATTGTTGTATAGGGTTAGCATCTGTAGTTGCATCACGACTCCCTAGCTGGAGTCCAAGAGACCACCCAACTCAGTGGCTTGAGACGTTATCACACATGGCTCAGAATCGAAACCAGTGGTAGTCATGCTATAGCTCCCTTCTATCTTCTTTTACTTAAAAGTATTGAATATTTTGTCTTGAATCTATCTTACTGGACTGGCCTTTTAATCATTCTATTCTTATCGTGTTTTATTTTTATCCTCCGGTTTATATCTTCATAATATTGTTATATTATTTTGTGTGGGCGCATTTCTTGTTGCCTAACTGTACGACGTTTCTGTTCAAATAATAATAATGATAAGCTAACTGATGCAACACTAGGGTATACTGTCCTTGACGTTTACAAGTAATCAATTATTATTTTTTATTGTTGTTTGTCCCTTGGGTTCCTGGTGGAACATAGGGATTCAATAGCACGTCTCCATTCCACTATGTTCTCTGCAATCTTTTGAACCTGGCTCCACAACTGCCCAGAAGCTCTCATTTCTTCCTCATATGATCTCCTCCATGTCACCCTCGGACGCCCAACTCACCGTTTCCCATCTGGGTTCCACTCGATGACCTGGCACGTGATGTCCCCGAATGGTCCTCTCAGTGCATGCCCAATCCATCTCCACTTCCTTCTGCATATTTGTTGAGCGATAGGTTCTTGATTGGTTCGTTGCCAACCAGAGTTCCTTGTTGCTTATTCTTAGTATTCTGGCCATCTGAGCTTCAGTTATGAGCATAGGCAATTGTTGATGAATATCTGTAGTCTGTTGGAAATGCTTTTCGTAACGCGCCAAGTCTCTAAACCATCACATAGAAGCACTGACTTACTTGACATTAGTGTTGAAAATCCGGATCTTGTTCACGCTTTATGCTGAGTGCAGATCTCCACACCGCTTTCAGGCTAATGAAGACCTGTCTTGCTTTTCCGATCCTGGTTATTACGTCCTCGTCTGTGCCGCCGCCTGTAGTTGAAACGATGCTGCCTAGATAGGTGGAAGAGGCCACTTCCTTTAAGTTTCTCCCGTTGATGGTGATTGGAGCTTGTTGTTATTGGTGGTGGTGGCGTCTTCATTGCCCTGCCTCTTCTGTCAACTTGTTAGTTTTCGCCTGTAGATCTTCGAGTTTGTGCGACATTAGACACAAGTCACCAGCGAAATCCAAATCCTCTAGGATCTTCTCCCCGGTCCAGCGTATCCCCCTCTTCTCGCTCCTCACTGTTTGCTGCATGATCCAGTCCAGTCGACCACAATCAGGAAGATCATGAGTGATAGTAGACAGCCTTGTCTTACTCCTGTTTTCACTTCAAAAGCATCACTGAGCTTTCCACTGTGAATTACTTGGCATGCGGTGGCTTCATATAGTTGTTGAATGAGGTTGATAAAGGTTTGTGGTATTCCGTAGTGTTGAAACAGTTGTCAAATTACTTCTCGGTCAACGCTGTCGAAGGCCTTGACTGCCATTCTATACTCCGTTCTATGATGATGCGCAGTGTGGCGATTTGGTCCGCACATGATTTGTTCTTCCTGAAGCCAGCCAGCCAGCCTGTTCCGGTCGTAATTTTGAATCCAGCGCATGCTTTAGTCTCTCCAGGATGATGCGGCTTAATATTTCGCTTGGGGTGGAAAAGAGCGTGATTCCGCGCCAGTTCTTGCAAACAATTAGGTCGCCCTTCTTCGGGAGTTCGACAAGGTAGTCCTTCTTCCAATCGCCAGGTACCTTCCCTTCCTTCTAGACCTCCCGAAATAGTGGTGTGAGCATGTCCGCTGTTGTCCCTACGTCTGCTCTTAGTGCTTCTGGTGGGATTCCATCTGGTCCTGCTGCTTTCTCGTATTTCAGTAGCCTTATGGCATTCAGGAATTCGACTCTTGTCGGAGGGCTTGTGTTCACTTGTAGTTCTGTGGCTGCTGGTGGTATTTCTGGACGAAGTGCAGGTGGTGGTCGATTCAAGAGTATTTTGAAGTGGTCAGCCTATCGTTTCCTTTGTTTCTCTTCTTTGGCAATTAGATTCCCTTCATCTTTCATCCGTTTCATCTGTGTTGATCTCTTCCCAGATAGTAACCTGGTTATTTGATACAATGTTGTCAGGTCTCTCCTACTTGCAGCCTGTTCTGCTTCACTTGCAAGTGTGTCGTAGAAGTGTCTTTTGTCTTTGTACGCACTCTTATTCACTACAAGTAATTAATGGTAAGTGATAATTCACCTTCATTACTTCAGCCACGTCCCACCATTCTCAATAATATTATCGACCAACTTAGCTAACTTGCTTCCCTAGTTTTATATTATCATTATTCTGGTGTCTCAATATGGATACTCAAGCTGACTGAGGTAGCTGCATTGCCTCATTAAGTTTCGAAAAATTAAGTGCGATGCTAAAATGCAGTGTCCACATCCAGTATTGTGTTCTAGGCAATGTGACAACTGTTGTCTTGTTGGTGATACCTCGTTTGGAGGGTGGAATAGGAACTGACGAATCTTTGTTTAAAACTTAACTGGCCAATGTGATGAGTCAAAGTTACACAACCGTAGATGAAGCTTTTTTGTGGAATTTAATTACAGTTCTAACCTTGTTATATCTGAAACATGGCTAGGCATTGTATCGAAAATCTTTTCAAATAATAGTGTATGCCTGTTTGACATTTTCATTGGTTTCATCACCTTGCTTCTTCAAACAACAACATTATATGACTTGATCATCAGTGTTTGAAAATTCACACCGTAACAGTGGAAAACTTCACTAATGTCATCGATAAATGGACTCGACGTATTCATCATTTGGTCAAGCATTTAGAGGTTCTATTGCTTCAGGTTTCATGCTCTTGTTGAGGCAGTAACGTACATTTGCTCGTAATAACACTTGATCGAAGTCTAAAAAGGTACTCCAAGCAAGAGTGGCAGTCCCCCACCGTTAGCTGATAGAGCTATGATTTTACTATGTTCACCATTGGTTTTATGCAGATATAAGCCAAGCTGTAAAGTCATTGTCACATGTTGAAGTTGTTCGTGGCCAGAGAGAAGTGATTGTTAGAGTGAAATTGCAAGAGACGACGACCGTTGTAAGTTAGTGGGTATTATATACCACAGATACCTCGAGGATTCCTTTTTCATTGGCTGAGCCTTCCTACCTAAGCATTGAAGTCAGCTACAGCAAAGAATGTATCTAAACGCCTTGTCCTTATGTAGCGAAACTGATAGCTATAGATCGAACTCAACTTTTACATTATTTGGACTGCATTGGATGGGTGCGAAGGCGGAGACTACAAAAAAGCATTGGCGAACGCCATAACCCTTCCCAGTTCATACAGATCAATTCGGCCGGATGACATATAGATGGCTGTCAACCAGTACCCATTCGAGAAGTGCGTTGTCTTGTCTACAACACCTTATGCTATACTCACACCAGCGATCCCACTAGTCTACTGGTAAATTGAATTTTGCGGATGCATGATAATGGCCAAATAAGGTCTAGTAAATTGAAATGGTGGGGAATATTTGTAGTTCACGGGGATGATCTTGGTTGTATTGTGTTCTCTCTCGTGGAGTTTTCATCGTTTATCTCATTAGCACTAACTTCAATCTGAAGGGATGTGTCAATATCTCTCGGTGAGTGATTTGGTAGCTTGACAATCAGAACAACAAAACCTTGAACAAACTCTTCAAAGCAGAAGAAATAACAAAGCAAGACAAATGGCGTATGAAATCTAATGGACCTATCCTTCCTCGATTCTACGGCAGACCAAAACTACACAAAACCGATATCCCTCTACGACCAATAGTCTCACTTCCGGGAACCCCAACATACAACACATCAAGAGAACTTTCGAGAAAACTGAAACACCTCGTTCAATCATGCGGGTATTCCATCAAATCACCAACAAAAATCCTAGAAAGGATCAAATGCATTAATATAGAAAACCACGAATTAGTTGTATTCTTCGATTGCATAGCATTATACACATCAATCGAAGCACAATTGGCCAAGGAAACGATATCCCTCCTGATCAATGAAGACAAAAACCTTTCAGAACGCACAAAACTCAAATGTTCAGGTCTGATGGAACTCATCGACCTTTGTTTGACAACATACTTTCAATTCAACGACAAGATATACAAACAGATGAAAAGAAATCCAATGGGATCACCGATATCCGGACTAATTGCAGAAGCAGTGATGCAGAGACTGGAAGCCATTATTCTACCTGTGATCAAACCAAAAATTTGGAAATCCTTATGTAGATGATGCGGCGCTTTCAATGACATCAAATTCACAATGGAGAAAGAGTCGAACAATCAACTACCATTCCTGGATGTTTTAGTCAGTAGAGAAAATACCGGAAAGCTGGGAACCCAAGTGTACAGGAAGCCAACACACACTGACCAAATCCTCAACTACAATAGCAACAGCACACAAAATCAGTTGCGTGCAGACTCTATTCAAAAGAGCGAGAACACACTGCAGCACAACAACTTCACGGAGAAACGAAGAAAATTACCTGATGTCCACCCTAGAGAAGAACGGCTACCCACGAAACTTTATCAGAAGATGCCTATCCCGTGCATCACCAACTACAAAGTCATCGACAGAAATCAACAAAAGCATCGTCCTACCATACATAAAGAATATATCAGAAATCATGACAAGATTACTGAAACCACTTGGAATTGGTGTGGCTCATAAACCAACAAATTCCCTCCAAACACTATTATGCAGACCAAAGGATGCAACAAACAAAGAAGACAAACCGAAAATCATTTACAAAATCAACTGCAATAACTGTAGTCAGCACTACATTGGACAAAGCGGCCGCCCTCTTCGCCTTCGTTTACATGAGCACCAATTGGCTATTAAACGCCATGACATTTCGTCACTCATTTCAATGCACATGGATAATTATGGACATGAATTTAATTTCGACAATGTAGAAGTTTTGGACAGAGAGAGGAAACACATAGAATATCAGAGAATTTCTAGAAGCTTAGCATTCAGGTCAGTCAGCAATCAACAGATGTATAGACATAGACCCGATCTATCAACCAATAAGGAAAATGATAAACGACAGAAAGGTCATAGGTGAAGCAGAGGAACAGCCAACAGGAAAGTCAATACAATCAATGACACAACAATCGAAGGAAACAACCAATCACAGACCACATCGTCAGAGCAAGCTACTAAATCACTCACGGAGAGATATTGACAGCTCACTTCATACTGAAGTTAGTGCTGATGATGTCGTCTAGCAAGACGATGAAAGCTTCGCGATTAAGCCACTTAGTTCAGAGAACACAATACAATCAAGAGGTTAGATGAATCTCAGAAACACACCATACATCGGTGACTCAGTATTCTAAAGTTTTAGCAAAGTAGCTTTTTGTCTGATTAGGCGTAGGGTGTGAACTTTGAAATCTGCAATTGGAAGTCTACTTGTTACTGTGTTTTTCTGACTTGGATAGTGGTCAATAGTCACAGTGTGAGATCCTTACCATATTGTTAGTGGTTTAACATGGGTATCAAGAGGTGAAGGTAAGGTAACAGAAAAAGGTAAGGGGCGTCAGTCATGTTTGGTTAGATTTTTATGTACCTATGGGGATTGTGAAAGTGGTTGATACAACCCGATTGTCCATACCGTGGAGGTTGTTTCTGTGAAGTAACTGAATTAGAAAACTTGCTAGTGATACTGTTACATGACGACCGCAGTATCCATGGCACATCTGCTTGAAACCGGTCACATATTGCCATTTATGATGGTTGAATCTTGATCTAAATACGTTACTCAAAGACAAGAAAAACTCGTAACTTCGGCACCGGATAACACATATTGGATTGGTTGTTGGTTTTTGGGGTCAACGTTTTCTCTTCCCCCTTTCATTGGGTAGGTGGTAGCAGTGTGGTACTGGTGGTCATCCGTGGGAATCACTTTACTTCTGTCACGTACCTTCCAGTTAGCGGTACATCTTTCCTTCGGACCCCATCCAAGCGTGTTAGACTGCACTATGAGGTTAACAGCCTTCTGTCTTAACATAAAATAAGGCTTTTCATCCGGAAAGAAAGATGAGAAGTTGGAAATTAAATCACCTGGAGACACATCAACCTCAGTAAACAACAAAGAGGTGCACTATTTTTATATGCACTGTGCAGCCTCCATTTAGAAAAATGAGAATCCAGTTAGCTTTCAACCCAGTGCCCACTATATACCATGGCAAACTGATTTAACGAGAGAAGATTAAGGACAGTATCAAGCATAGAAGTAATCTAAGATATCACAGTGAACCTCTGCGTATACTGGAGACAAGGAGGGATGCAAGGATTTGTGACATTTAAGGACATTCTTTGTGTTACTGCTTGGAGAACAACTATCCACTTAGTTGTAGACACTTGATAGAATAAAATCAGCTTGTTCATATATAAATAACTAGTTTCATCAGTCATCTGTTTCCACCAGTAATTTCTTTAAAGAGTTTCTATATATTAAAAAACACCCTATACGACAGACCCTTCTGGTTGGATATTATGTTCATATGTTTTCATTCGAACTATATTAAACAGTGTTGTCTTCTTATGCCAGTTTTATCATTCACTTTACATGACCTTTCATCTTATCTTATCATCATCTTATCATCTTATCTTGAGAAAAAGTTGATCAAATGATGTAAAAGAGTCTTTCGCTAGGTTAGAAAATGTCAAGATAGTGTTTGAAGTAGCACGTGACACCACCCGTGTTGTCATCTAACATTTTATCAACAAATAGATCCCAATTTATGTTTTGTTGCATACTTCATTTCTGTGACCCAGAATACTATCCTTTGAATAGCATTTTTGCCGAACTTTCGTGGAAATGTATTCTTGTCTAGTCCCCTATATGCTTTGGACAAAACGTGTATAATACAGAGGTCAGAATTCAGTAGTAAAGCTCGTTTATAAGCTTGCTATATACATGAAGTCAAGTTTCTTGAACTGGTAACATACACCTGGATTACGATCACTATTAGAGGATAAAAGCGACTCGAGGTAGTTAACATTTTTTTCGGTGAAGACACGTAGTTTGTGCTAGGTTTTAGGAATAATCACTTGATCTATTGTTGTGTAGTGTAAAGCTTGTTGCCATCCATCATAACGATAAATTGAAAGCATTTTCAAAATGCACAACAGTAAATAGTATGACTATTTGTTGATATATTAGTAGTCCTCAGCAAATGGTAATGACCAATGGCCATTGTACAACAAGTGTCTATCGTGCTCCAGTCTCCAAGTGTGTAAGTAACCCTTTGATGTTTGAAGCGATGGGTACGAGGTTCGAGTCTCAATGGGAATAACCTCACTCACTGGGGTGCAGGTGCATCCAACTGTCGAGTCCCAAATAAGAGGAAATGCGCCTCTTCGATTCCTCTATTAACCACAGTCAAGTAAATAACATGGTTTATGAGTGGTTAAAACAATGTCAAAGAAGGAAGCAATGCGACATACTGAAGTTGAACTATATGTTTCCCTTCAACTCCCCTTCATGCAATACTTTTGTCTGACATTGAATCCATACCATCTTCATCTCTTAAGTAACGGCAAACAGTTATGAAATGCTGTCATTTTACTTCTCATGTTTTCCTTACCAACTTAAAAGGACGATACATGGATATTTTCTATCAAGATTTCTGTTCTGTATAAACGATTGCATTGTCATCATGCCTGTTAGAATTTGGATTGATTCCTGGTGATATTTTATCTTACAATAAGTTACCATTCTACGATAGTTTTACACTGAATAGCTTTTCTCTGATAAAATGTCAGATATGGCCTTCGCTCATATAGATGATTTTTATCACTTATTCACTAACTGAGTGTATACAAATCTCAAACGTAAGATATCCATTATTATGGTTTGAATTATATATCCTATGGTTCCAGATATTCGAATTGTTTTCTCCAGCTACTATTCACGTTGAATTTACTGTTCATTTCAAAAGTGACTGACACTTTAACCCCCAGATGAACACTTTTATTCATATATTTCGCAGGAGAATCCTGGTACAAGTAATCATACTGTTTGTTAGTAGTGTGGCTTTTTTGTACGAAATCGCTGACTCCAAATATCGTCGTATACCTGTTGCTCCAGTGCACTGTTGCGTGCTATTTTACATAAATTAGTCGATCAGTATTTACCATGCACTTTCTTTGCTATTTTTCCTATTGATTACTTGATTATATATCGGTGATAGATACATACTGTGTGTTAACTACTGCATTATTATAGTGATTTAAATGAGAAGTTTTTGTGCTTTCCACAGTGGTATAAATCAAACTCTAAGAATTATTAATTGAACTCCGCTGGTTGGGATAATCCCTAGCAAATTGAAAAGGTGAAGTTCTCATTATAATCATCATGTATTGTGGTTTATTGTCACTAAATTGAAATTTCTTACCATTCTTTATAGACATCTATGGGTGACCGTCCATCATGGAACACAGGTGATAGGTAGCTGGAACAATCCAGAACCTCGAACAAACACACAGAGTGACTCACTTGAATACCTGCTTATGACAAATAGACAGGAATTATGTGAGAGGAGACCAAAAAAGAAGTCAATGAAGGTTAATAAAATATGTAGTCACTGATAATAAGTGGGATACACTTCCCTATGCATTACATACTATTGCCCGTTGACTTTATAAACAACTGTTAGATCTAGGTTTCATACAACACGACCACAATTATTGTCTAGCTAGAATGTAGCTTGATGCATGTGAACTATGTTCCAGCCACTTCAGCCATTGCTTACTCACTGGTTAATCGAATGATTCAGTATCCTCTTACTGAACTATGCGTCTAACGCCACAATTTTCAGTTTGATCACATGCCAACAGGTTTATCAATAAACCTGTAACTGTCTGGTGCTGTTGTAACTCAACAGCCGTACCTTAAAGTCCTAGAGTAAGACAGATAGAAGGTTATCTTTCAATGTACTCACTATCTGATAAAACAGTCAATCCCTTGCCGGCTTCAGAAATAATTGAAATGGGCAGACTAGCCTACTATATCGATGCGGAGTCTCCTTCAATAATCTCTTGTTATCAGTGTTGAGGATTTGCAAAGTACTGATGTTGACTTGTCATAATCAGAGAAATATAACAATCAACAATGGACCTGGCATTACTGCGTTATGGTCCAAGTTACCACAACCTCATATCAATCGGCATATCAACCAGAATGCACTAAGAGGAAAGATAAAGAAATATCAAAAAAAGCACTCAACATGGTAGGGAGTTGTCGATTGAAAGATAGTTGGCATGAGACAAGTGAACTTCATTATTGACGATTGGGATGAAGATAACGTGTGGATGCTTTTGCTCCACTGACATCGATTCTGGCCATACCACCTAGACTCTCTAACCACCGGTTTTTGTTGTCAGGTGGACCCGAACCGGCTAGGTCGCATCTCCTTACATGGCTCAGAGCAACTGTCGACGACTTTATGCAGTGATGTCATGTTTTAATCTGGTCATTTCTAGCCCTTTTCCAACCTGAACATGCGTCAGTTAATATTGTGCGACGAGGCAGATGGTAACTAGGCTTGCGTAACACGTGTCTCAGTCTATGAAGGTTTACAACCCTGTCAAAAGACTTTCCTTCCTAAAACTCTGCACCCCACTTTTGAATTACTGAAGTGACGAAACTGTGACACCCGGCTTATGCTACGAAATCTATGGTGGTCAAACACTTGAAGCCTTCTTGTGCTCTCTACTCTTAATGACCATCTTTCACAACCATTCAATAGAACATAGCGAACCGTAGCGTAGTGCATTCGATGCTTATACGATATCAAGGCGGCGCCATAGACAGTATATTCTAACGGAGATTTCTCTTGTCCCTGGGTCACCAATGCTTATGCGGACTTTCCAAGTAAATGGAGCTGTGAACACGCTCAACCACTCCACTTCCCATTTTCAGACGACGCGAACGCAGACAATTCTTGGAGCAACAAATCGCATTTGGGTGGTGAGAAATTCATCCCAAACATTCAAGTTGTCACTCGCTTTGCATCTTGTCACAATCTCTACCTAAAAAGAGTATATCATCCTTTTACTCTAGGTCCACCAAGGAGTTTCGCTCAACAATACTTATCCCTATGCTATCAGACTACAGGTTCTGACATTCCCACGGGTATTCGACAGGATGATATACTTACTTGGCGCCACTTTTCATTGAGAGACACTGCTATAAGACCTGTCATCCAGTGAAGGATGAATATTTGGTCGATACAACTACGACTGGATATGAAACCTACCTGGTTTTCTCGAGTTTGCTGTTCCCCTGCTTCACCTAGGTATCTGATGATCATAGAATGTAGAATCTCAAGCAAAATTTTTGTCAGAGTGCCTCCCCTGTGTTTATCATGGAAGGATTTCTCTCATTTCTTGAAGACTGACAATCAATAGTCGTGACCAGTTACAGAAGATTACATCTGATTTCCATACGCTAGTTAACACCTGACCAATAATCCTCGATTGCCGTCCATAAATCTTCCCAGCACTAACCCATCTGACCCTGCTGCCCTTGTTTCACGCCACTCATAGCCTTTTCAACTTTTGCAAGAGTTGGAAGGCCTATCTCTGCGTTCCATTTAGCATCCGACTGAATTGTAAGCAACGGAATAGTAGCTGAAGGCCAGTTGATCTGTTCCTCAAGGTTTCATGTCCACCGTTCCACTCATCTACCCTGTGAGTGGATCGCCGACATATTTGTCCCCGCTACACTCTCACTGACCTTTCTGTTCTAGTTTGATTTAGCAGTGTAAAGAGTTGTCTACTGTTACTTATTATCGCCGTTTTTTCATCTCTAGCTCTCGCCACACAACGCTGCTTCTGGGCAGACTTCTTTTCGGTCTACATTTGAGTTGTTCCCACTCGTCATTGGGCTCGGAACCTGTAGGAATCCGTTAATGCTCATCCATTGATTCAGAATGAGCTTTTGAGATCCACTGACGCTTTCTAACCCCTTTCCGAAAGTTACTGATGGTATTCAATATTATTTTTGCAGAAAACTGAAGATGGCATCAAACTCACATTGAATGATTATGCTCTGTTCTGATAATTGTCTAGCCAATTGCTCACTGAAAGTAGCTTTAGTATCCACATCGTCAGGTTGCACTAAGAATGATCATGTGGCTGCGGTTTTTCTGTGTCAGTTTAGGCACAGACATACGTGAGACCGAACCAATGCCTCATCGTTGTTCAAACACAAACACAAAGAAAGAAGTGAGCTACAGGATTTTCTCCATAAGTAGTTTAGTAGCTTGTCCTGATGACCTTGTGTGTGATTGGTTGTTTCTGCTAAGGTCTTGTCATTGTCTCCATATTTGTTTCGATCGGTTTTCCTACTGACATGAACTTTGACCCTGTTGTTGTTTCTTATTGGTTGATAGATCAATGTCAGTATGTCTGTTGGTCGCTGACTGACCTGAGTGTTATAATTTTCTTAGGAGAAAAGAAATTTCTGTGCAACAGTTTACTGTTTTGTTTCCACTTTCGTTCATTGTCTTTTTCTATTTTTGTCTTTTCATCTTCTTTTAAAAGGAACGGGCTATAAAATGGAAATGTGGCAATTCTATGGACGGTTTAACTACAAATGGTGTCATGATGTTACGGATCCCTCCGAGTAAAATTATTGATCAAATGGGTCAAACTCTAGGTGCGTTTTTCCATGGGAGTCTTTACATTGTGTCATTTGCAGACATCTCAATTATCATACTAATAAAAGTATATTTAGTGAGATTTTTCGCTGTATGTATAGTGTGTTTACATTCACACAAAAATGATACTAAGATGGGATTGAATTTAATCATCATCAATTATTGGTCCATAGTGAAGATGTAGGAGTGTGTGTGTGTGTGTGTGTGTGTGTGTGTGTGTGTGTGTGTGTGTGAGTAGCTGTGGTGGATGTAGAGAAAGTAATACTAATGAGAAATACAGTTTGTTTGTGTTTACATGCTACACTTCATTTGTGGTCAGTGTGTATAACTTGCCATTTCAGATCTACTGTTGGTTGGTTGAAGTAAAATGAAAGCCTTGATTGTGACAAGATTCGAACAAGTGACCGAGAGCCCTACTAATCGAGCTACGAGATCCAGCTGCTGATCAGTTCATTGCGTTCAACCCTCTATTTCATGAAAAAGGTTTGTTCCATTGGTTTGAAAAGTTGACTTGCGACCACTTGGTCATCCATTCAAACCCACCTATACCGACCGATGTCTGGGGCATCAGGTAAAAAGTCATCAGTCCTCAAACAATAAGCATGGCTCATTGACTGATGCACCAAACTAGATGGCATCCTAGAATTACCCTCTTTAGCCCACTAAATTGCAAAACCGTTCCATCGAAAATCAGTAACAATTTTAAAAATTACTAAAACTCAAGAAGCACATAATAGCTGTTTCATCTTTTTTCCGTAACTCATCAGTAACCAACAAGTGGTGTTCGTCCCTTCTTCCTAAGCTGACAGAGATGTATCCCATTCCCAGTTTTGGAGAGATTTCGAACACCTCCAATCAACGTATGCTGAGGCATGACGTATCATCCAACGTCATGAATTGTACATCCCTTTCAAAGTACAAGATAAAGAAATGAGGTATTTGACGCAATGTATATTTCCAGTCTATCTAATAATCTATAATCAGTTATTTGATATCACTATGCAGCCAACTGATAATTAAAGTAATAATCACGTAGGTTAGCTACGAGCACAGGGATCACCTTTATGGCAACACTTCTTTAGTTCTCATAACAAAATTACACTAAAGGAAAAATTCGATAATTAACTAGCGAACCAAAGCATCGATGTGTAATTTAACTACTGGGAAGTCGGGTAAAAATGATCCAGAGGAATTAGAACTTAAAAGAGAACGTTGAATTCTATATGGGTTGGTCAACTGGCACTGGAGCTGAATTCCCAGCTCAGACATAGTTTTTTTAAGAGTTCTTATTTGGTCCTAGTGGTTAACTGATCAACTTTATAAAAAGAATATATCCCTAGGTTGGAACTCCATCGACTTACTGGTGACTAAATCTCGAATGTTTATATTAAAAATTATTACTTCAAATTCTTTTTCGCTCTACTAAAGCCTGAAGCTTAAATACTGTTGTGAGTCGTGTAAACCTGAATAACTGCCAAGCAGTCAGGTATTTCTATTTATACTGAGTGATGATTGAAGGTGAAATGAAATTTGGACCTCGGTCGAATTCAAACCAGCGATCACCGGGTTTCCGGCCTGATGCTGTACCAACTGAGCTACGAGGTACGACTGCTGGCCATATTTTTATTTCACTTCAATCATCATGGGTTTCACACGACCACCATGTGAATTCGTGACGCCTTACTACCTCTTGATCGTATTCACACTGGCTGTCTAGTCAGGACTTCTCATCCCAATCTAAATCTAACTGGACTAGAGAGGGTGAGTATCATATTGATTATCATTTGATTATCTGAGATAGCCGTGGTTTGGCAGACTAGTATTTATACTGGGTGATGACTGAAGGTGAAATGGACCGCGGCCGTATTCGAACCAGCGGCCACCAGGTTTCGGTCCAATGCTCTACCTACTGAGCTACGAAGTCCGACTGCTGACCAGATTTTCATTGATTTCACCTTGTTGTCATGCTTCCTAAAGTCTTTGCCAGTCTGATTAAGTATGAATGCATTGCTTTTCAACTCACTCTAGCACCTGATCTGTGGCAGTCATCTTTTCAGAAATTCGTGTGATTTGATTATTGGCGTCGTTCACAACGGATTGGATAGTTTGATTCTCCTATTCAAATCTACCCGAATTAACTACTGACATCAAACGAGTTGAACGTTTGGTCAGTGTTAATGCCAACCTCATCTGATTAGAGAAATTTTCAGCTTTGTCTGAGGGTGTAGTTCATTGGTTTAAGTATTTTTCTGTTAAGCAGTACATCCCGGGTTCAAACTTCACCCCACTTGCTCTGAACTGTGCATAAATACGCTAATGAACGTGAAATTAAATCGCAATGTATATTTAATAATTAACTTTCTTCTTTACAAATCATTTGGTTGTTGTCAATACAAAACGTCTTGTAAACTTTAAACTAATCTGTAAATTAATTCAATATTGTTTTTATATTGTCGATGATGAAACCATTGCATGGGGATTTTAACAGAGACTAATTTCACCTGGTACTTTCGTAAACAACGCTTAAACTTCCGAAAGAAATGATAACTCTTTTGGGAACTGGAGTTTATCGTCTTGCCGTGTTCGAAATTGACCAAAATGTTCACTCCATCTCATATTATCAGATGTTATCAAATAAAACATGGAGTGTAATTGAAAATTATCCTTTAAGGTGATTTCATTTAAACACCTCTGTAGAAAGTCAACATACTGTAAGCCTCAGATAGAGCATTAGGTCATGTGAGAATAAATCAATTAGTGACATAAGATCAACAGTGATTACGTATGACTTGCTTCTTTTATTTCTGCATTTCTATGGACTTATGATTTCAGATAGATAGTTGTAACAGTATCTGACTATGGAAGGAGTACCGAGCAAGTATGTAACACTAACCAAAGCTCTCTATTCGAACTCACGCAGCTGTGTTAGGGCATATAGAGAGTTATCGTCATCAGAATTGATGACAACCGGTGGTGTCTGTCAGAGATTTCCACTGTCACCGTCCCTATTTAACTTCATTATACACGTACTAATGGACATAAACTTAGGGTAGGTCTGACTTCACAGGGATTGGTCTACGCCCTAGATACTATCTATTTGACTTGGTTTATGCAGACGATATTGTTCTGCTCGGTGAAGATGCTGACAAAATCCAGGGTATTTTGAACACATTCAGCGGAAATCCGAGTATATTTGGCATGTTTCACTGGCACTTGTCAAATATAAGACTGGTCTGAAACCACTCTCAGTTTAATGAAAGGGGTTGAACTGGTTGAATATAACGACCACGAACCACAAACGGGTTGATTTCTGACGAAATCCCAGCTCGAACACAGAAAGCCCGTTTGACATTTCCCAACTTGCATCATCTTTAGCGCCCACTGGTGAGATATCCTACTACCTATCAAAGAAGGAGTATACTGCGCTGCAGTCCGTTCTGTCCTGTTATAAAGCTGCGAGACATGGCCGTCAAAAGTAGAAGACATGAAGCGATTACAGGGTTTTGGTCAAAGGCGTCTCTGTAGCATTTTTTCCATTTGGTGGAAACACCTTGTGAGCAATGTTGAGGTGAGACGAAGGGTAATAGGTAAGACAAGGTAGTCAATTTGTGAATTTATGAGCCTTAGTCGAGTAAGATGGCTCTCTCGGACGTGTTACGCATGCTAAACCACCGCCTACCTTGACTTGCCATGCTAGGTGAAATTGGGTTAGGTTGGAATAGACTTAGACCAAGACGTAGTTCCAGTCCACGAAGCCCTTGACTGTTGGTGTGAGCCGTATAGGGAGGCATAGACTAGTTGGTTGGGGCTCTCGAGAAGATAGGAATCATTAGTTGAAGGATGTTGGCACCATAGGTGGAAATTGGTCGCTATGGAGTAGTTGGGTTCTCCTCTTGACGTCTTCCAAAGCTTATTCTTAACTTTATTCTCTCACAATTTTGTCTACTCTGATATCACTCTTCTATTCACCTGTTCTTTGTTCTTTGCTACTGTGAAGTGTGGCAACTTGAGTGGATGCAGTTGTGTTCGACATTAATTTTGTCTGTCTGGCTGTCTTTTCCATCTCCATTTGTTAATAACTATAATGTATGGTTTTTGTTTTTTTTTCACTCCCTTCATGTATCCTGAAATTCCGCCATCCATGCACGCCTGTGAATCCGTTTGTAACTGAACAGACCATGAGTAAGTGATAGAAAAAAATTATTTTTGTTGTATATTTCAAGTTGTTATTCATCGTAGACTGACATCAGTTGGAGGAACAAAGGAAACCTGGAAGCACTGGACAGCTGTTTCGTCCTAGTTTGGGACTCCTCGGCAGTTCGCACCCACGACCCCGCCAGGGATCGAACCCGCGACCTTCAGGTTCCGCGGCCAGTGCGTTACCATTGAGCCACTTCTATATTTGCAAAGCGTAATCAATATAATTTTGAAAATTGCATCCTAGTAGTGGAAGCTCTCTTCGTTTACGTTGATTAAGGTTAGGCACTGATCGCCCTGAAACCATGAAATATTCATAGATGTTTTTAACAGACTAATATTTTTGAAGGTATCCTGGCCAACAATGGACTGGATGGTTTGTTTGTTATTTGTTCTAATATACTAAGCCTGGATTACACAAGTAAAAATACATCCTATGCAATGAAGACTAATATTTCTCTCTGGGTTATTACTGACTTTTATTTACTGATAATCACCACTGAAGTTAATTACAGCTGATATATAATTCAGAAAATAGTCAGTGAATTTGTGATTGTTTTCTCTACTAGTCCGTTTATCATGATTTTTTTTTGCCAGGGATGTTAGTTATACTGATCAAACTTAATACCGATGAATTGAATTTATAGTGCCTTCATTACAAAACAATATGTAATACTTTATGTTATGATTGATATATGTATCATATATAACTACATCTATAGTTCTTGCATAGATAAAAACACCTAAATCGTTTCTATTTAAGCCATACACTAGCCTGACTAACCGTACTGGATACTTTTGACTTCCCTGAAATCAGATGGTGACTGTCTCCGGACCAAACTATTAGCCAATTGACTGCGTGTACCTGTCTTTTAATAATTCCAGCTATATAATTCAATAAAACAACCTTTTGTACAGATAAAGTGCAACTGAGAGAACATAACTTGGTAATACACACTAGATATTGAATAGTCAATCAAGGATAATAGGTAAATAGATAAGCTATACAAGTGCATTTTGATAATCAATGTATATAAGACTTCACTTCTCTATATCTTAAGGCAATCAGAGAATAGTGCTTATAAAACACTAGGAATGTAAGTTAAACGATCGGTAATTTATGAAAGATGTCTAGCTGATTAAACCCTTCTGAAAACTTGAATGGACAACTGTTTAACCTTCTGATGGCTTATTCTTTATAATTCAATCCTAGTTTGTTCTAAAATCAGTGGCACAGTTTATTATTAAGAAAAGCTAATCATAAGTAAGCCTCATTAGGCTTAAGCCGATTTTATTCATCACAGTTTCTCAAAAGTCACTTCAACCATTGACTTCAATAGTTTGGACTCCATGAGCAGTCATCATCCTGACACGCTATCATATCTATTCAGTTCAGTTGGATTTTGTAGTGTTTAGTAATTTCTGATAAATTAATTGTAACGATGCGAAATGGTAAGCGTCTGTTTTATTTAATGAAGTCAAAAGTTCGCTGATCGTATATTCCATCTTTTATGATATCCAGTCAGTTGCCTAACCGCATAACATTAGATCTGTCGAATAATAGCAAGCATCGTATCACCACCATTTATACATATTGCCTTCGTCATGATTTTCCACCCAGGCGCATTAGTAATACCAAACAACTTCAATTTCAGTTCGCTATTGAGTTTGAAAACAAGGCTGTCGAAGTCTTACCCACTCGATCACCAGTGTGATGTATCTATGCTTGCGCAGTGGTGTCTCTACCTTCAAAACGTTCTGCATACATCCTGCTGATGAGCACTATGTAACAGGAAAGTTAGCTTTTTCGCTTCTTCCTGACTAGCCGTCTACATTCCTTTTACTCTAAACAGTATGCATAGCGAATTCGAGTCGCGTAACCTGATGACTGCATTGATCAATAAAATTATGTTGAGATTCAATTGGTTACCCTTCAGGTGACTTATCGGTGTTTCGGTTGTTTCCAGAACATCATGTTACGTAATTTCTGTTCACACCGGTTCTTCATTTGATTATACTCAGTAGAACGTCCAAGTTCTAAGTGATGATTCAATTGTGAAAAGAGACTAATAGACTCAATGACTGACAAAAGCCATCTTACACTAAAGTGTAGTGTTCCCTCTAGCAAAATACCGTTGAGAAATGTAGTTAAAGAGTCTAGTGTACCTGAAAAACTCTTTGGTAAATTATAGTAATTTTCACTTCTTTAAATGATTTAAAATAGTTTTTTTAACATTACATTTAATTCTTTTCTTTTAGTTCTGATATCCGATGTCAATGGCGTGAAGTCAGTGTCTGCGGGTCAGTGTACGAAATGCGAAGTAATCGCTGTATACCAACTAATCTGGTAAATTATAACGGAATACAAATATTTACACCTCCTTTTTTCATTCCTATTTATTTAGTTTAGGCTATAATTGCTTAGTGTTGATTCTTACCCGTGAACATAAACACCAATATAGATGTCTTTGATTAAAGACGCTGGAAATCATCGAATAATTGTTGCTTGTAACGCTTATCCATTACACATCAAATGTTAAATTTTCAGGTTTGCGAGGATTTATTTATTGATTCCAGGTTGGTATTCATCATGGACTGACATCAGTTGAAGAAACATTGGAGCACTAGGAAGCTGTTTCATCCTAGTATGGGACTTCTCACCATTGCCCACTCATGAACCCACAGGGATCGAACCCAGGACCTTTAGGTTCCGCGGCGAGCATGTTACCATTGAGCCACTGGGTCGGAGTCCAGTGGCCCATATTTCGTGCTTCTGCCAGTCCACAGTACAGCACAAAATATATCTATCGCTTAAGGCTATTTCAAACTGACCAATGAATGAGTGAATAATGGAAAACCTAGAATAAAAGACTCCCCTTAGAAATCATGTTGCATATTTACATATTAACAACAGAAATGACAGTAGTCGCTACAACTGTACAAAAATTGGGAGGAACCATCCAAATCGAACATGAGGACAGTTACTCAACAACGACATTGTGTGGAAGCCACGCTTTATCATGAACTGACAGAAGTAGGAAATATGGACCATTGGATTCCGATCCAGTGGCTCAGTTGCTACGCGCTCACCAACGGTTATGCGCCTGAGTCCCGACTTTGTTGACCTTACAGATCACGATTTCTCATTAGAACTTCGGGAAACGTATCCCGAAGTAATTGGCCGAAAGTTAATGTGCTTGCTATACGATTTGATGGTCTTAAACTCTATCACTTGTGCGGATATGGGTGCGCATTACTGAGGACTTGAGAATCAGCACAAAATAAGCAGTCGGGTAATTTCAGGCTTTCATTGGCTCTCCAACTGACATCAATCCGTAATCAGAATAAGTCAACAAATCCCCACAAACCAACTGAGTTACAATTTGTTTACGTTGTTACCTGTGTTATCCGTTGCTGATTGAATTGATCGATCTCAGTCGGCATATGACCTACGCGGATGCCTCAATATTGTGTTTCAATTTTATATTAATGATGGATAGTGGCTAGCAATGGAATCCAGGATGCGCGTTTCGTCCTATTTGGGGCTCATCAACTGGATGTACCTGCGTCCTCGCTAGGACTCGAACCTGGGACCAATTGCTTCAAATCCCAGAGCGTTTCCCACTAGGCCAATGAGTTACTGGGAGGCAGGCACATCTAGCTAACGGGCTCCAAATAGGATGAAACGTGCGCCATAGATTCCACCACTAGCCACTATCCATCATTAATATGAATTACATTTAGTTTGAGCTGCAATAGTTGCTGCTTTTCCCCTACTCTGTCTATTTTTACCGCAGTCTTAAATTCGGATATATGGTGTTTGCCTTGCGGCCAATGCATTGATGATTTGCATACACAGCTAGTTTACACAGCAACAAACAAGAATCTTGCCTTTCAGCTCTAATGTCAACCAATTATATGAGTAAGAAGCTTGATTTATAAAATATTTGACCCAACCCGATATATTGTGGAACAACGTAATAAACATTATAAATGGCTTGAAAATAATGCAAAGTATATGTTTATTCAGTACAACTATTACCCGATTATCTTTAACAGAATGTTGTTCACATACTTATTATTGATAAAACCATCCCATTGATGCTTTTTGTTAGGGAGTGAATGTTATAAGCTTATTATTATCATTGTACCCCATACGAAATAATTTGGTTCATGAATAAGAGATTAAAAAAGTTAACAACATGTTTTGAAATGATCATCAATATAATAATCCTCTCGCCGCTAACAAAAACTGAAATATGACTTGTAATGGTATGAAAACAATGAAAAACTAACTTGTAAGGTAACCAATGGAGTGCAGTGACTAATCAACCAATTGAGAATAAACGAATGCAACGCATGCGTGTACAGTGCGAACTATAAAATGAGCATATTTCTATTACACATATGCACACAAAATTGAATTTGTCAGGAGAGACTCCTTAGTAGGCCTAAAGTATCCACTTGACTTAGTCCTGTTAGGTGATGTTGACAAAACTGACAGTTTCCTGGACATCTTCAATGACAATTTGAGGATATTCTGGATGCATTCCTCACGATTCAAATGTAATCTGCCACTCCACGACTAGTTTGTGTTGGTACCCATTTAATAATATGGAGTGAGAGAGTGTTGACCACTTCACTTCCTTGGCTTTCGCTAACTTATGCCGCCTGTGGTGATTTTTGATTACCCATTCGAGATTGAGTGTACTGCTCATTTGTTTGCTCTGTCCTACTATATGGCTGTAAAAGGCAGCTACTTTCTTGGTTATTCATCTTCTTTCATCTTGATGTACTCATATGAGGTGTAGCAACTTGTGTTGCGCAACAATACCAGGTCTCATGCTGATGATGACGTACGCATGCGAAAATTCACTTACCGTTGTTTAGCGCTTTGTTGAGTTTCTTTTTCACACGATACTCAAACTTTTATAGATAACCGAGACGCTAATTAATTCAAAGAATTACGCCAGATAAAATGCCAATGTAGAAATAAAACATTTCTATCTGATTTTTTATTCTCTGACCACTTATTTATTATTGGTTAACCGAAACAGTCAACAATACGCATGAATGAGGTAAATCTTATGGATAAATGTAAAATAAGAAACTTGGGGGATCAGTGACTGTTTATCAGACACTATTGTCGAGAGCATCAATTAAACTACTTCACTAAATACCACAGTAAGTACAATTGGTTAATCTACAGTTACAATGAAAAGCTCTTATTCGACATGATTATGCTACTTATATTTCGCATATACTTCATCTTTTTCATTCAGGTAAACGAAGACAATGTTCTTACAGATATGACAATTATCGATCTGTGCGGGGTAACCTTGTTATGGCGATCGAGATCTGGATTGAAGTATACAGCTTGTTCAGAAGATTTAATGAAAATGGTAAATTATCTTTTGTTTTCCGGCATACTTTCTGTCTACTTCTTAGTTCAAACGGAATGTGTTTGTTTTTTTCCAACTCATTCTTACTCCATAACATGACTATCTACCCTCGAAATTGTCAAAATTACTAAGTTCTAAGTCTTATCAATAGAAAAAGAAAGGAAAAAAAACTTTTTAATCTCTATGCTCAAGGTAAGTTTATGTGAATAATAAAGTACTCTGATCGAATGGGGAGGGGGCAGCAATTTTTAGTCTTCCATTGCCTTTTCGCACCATCACTCATATATATCACATCCATGTCACCCCCCAAGTTCAAATTCATTGAGGCATTTCGACACTGTTGTTAAAGTGTTAAATTCTACTTAAGAATTATTATTTATTGATACTTGTAATTTCCCATTGTTTTACTGGATCGAATTGGTCTACTTCTGTTGGTATATGAGCTGCTACGCCGATGTGTCGGTATTCCCTGATTATTCATTATGTTTTAATTTACTTGGTGGTGGCTGGTAATGGAATCTAGACATGCTTTTGAACCCGCTGGGTTTCGTCGGCTGCATATACCTGCACCCCAGTGAGTGGTGTTATTTTGATTGACATTCAAACCCAGCACCATCAAGCAAATTACTAGATAATAAGTAACCAAACGATATCGAGACATTCTCATAGGAGCCCACATGCCGACAGAGGTGGATCGATTCGATCCACAATAACAATGAGAAGTTACAAGTATATCAATTAATAATAATAACAGAGGATGTGTTACCACAGTGGCCTAGTGTATAACATTTTCGTCTTTAAAGCTCGAGTCTCGGTGAGAACAACGTCACTCATTGAGGTACACATGTACATCCAGCTGACAAGTCCAAACTAGGACGAAACGCGCGTCCTGGATTCCACTCCTCTACCCACCACTAAGAATATTGAAATCCCCATCGTTAAAACCATTCTGGTTATTTTTATGTCAACAATATTGTTTTCAGTTAGACCTCCTAAGGCTTTATTCTAATCTCCAGAACTCTACTCATTTAATAGAATAATAAACTAAACATTTTGATTTTGGATTCAGTGATAACAAGGTAGTGAAGTGCACTATTAATAACCTACCATGATAATCATAGTATTAGTTACTAGTTTCACTATAGATAACAAGTAGAATGAAAATATTATTTTAATTTAGAAATCTAGACAATAAAAATAGGTCTAAACTTTAATCAAAGTCTGAGCAAATATCATAATCAGAAAATAAAAGTTCAGAAAATTTCAATGTTTAAAAGCGTCGGTCAAAGTTTATTTAGATAGTTCGAAGATAGGGGTCATACACACGTGTTCTGAACACAGAGACCAAGCATTATTTGTTCTAATCTTCATAGCTCTGGTTAGGCGAGCACAAACGCCATTCAAAAGTTTTAATAGGATGTGTTACATTATTTTGAACGCTTTGAACTTTTCGACTACCGTTTTAAACCAAGTGGAACGAAATTCAATTTCGTGTTGACTTCACTTACCCCGTTCCTAGACCACATACTGTTCGCTCAACAAGACGTTTATTAAGCTACATAACCAGTCAGCGTCAATGTAGGGTCTAGCATTGCTGCGTAAGCGTTTAATTTGCCACACCCCTTATCAGCATATCAAAGTAGAAGATACTAGGTTGTAAAGCTCAAAAATAAGGAAGAAATCATGTGAAAGTTGTAGAACGTTGTAAAAAAAGAACCAGAAAAGTAAAGCAATACCTGGTCTAGTGGCATCGGTTCCGACCCCATTTGGGAAGAGTACAAATAATGCAAATCAAAAGAAGAAGGAGGAATTCTATAGACAACTCCAAACAGTAATGAATAAGACCGCACCCCGGTTGGCAACATCAAAATTCTAATGGACGACATGAATGCCAAACTGGGAGCGGACAACATAGGAAGAGAACTCATCATGGGTCGAGAAGCGCTTGGGGAAATGCATGAGAACGGAAAACTGTTTGCAGAATTCTGCGCATTCAACGATTTGGTGATTGGAGGCACTGTGTTCAAGCACAAGGATATCCACAAAGCGACATGGGCTTCGCCAGATACCAGGATACACTAAAATCAGATCGACTTTATCTCAATGTGAAGAAAGTGGAGACTCAGTCTACTGGACACAAGGTCAGATCAAGAAGGTGAGCAGATGTAGGTTCAGACCACTCACCACTATCTAGTGCAAAGAACCTACCTTCAAAATCAAGTTGGTGATAGACCACAGTTCAAGTTGAACACCTAGGACAGAAACTGAAGGACGAAACTACAAGGGACATCTTCATGCCAGCCATCAAGACAAAATGGGAGATATCGATCAACATCCCTGGAGAAACCTGTGTGGATGAGCACTGGAACTCTTTGAAAGCTATGTGAAAAGAAACCTGGATAACCGTGTTAGGAAGGAAGAAGAAAGAAGACAGGACAAGGAATGGATTTCGACGGACACATGGAAGCTGATAGAGGAGGAGAGGAAGCTGGTGAAGCAGAAGATGAACCGGTGCAGTGCAGGAATGAACAACGAGAAGAGGAACTGAGTACAACGTATAAAACACTACACTGGACAAAGAAGTGAAGGAGAATGCGTGCAAAGACAAAAGACACTTCTACGACACACTTGCAAGTGAAGCAGAACAGGCTGCAAGTAGGAGAGACCTGACAACATTGTATCAAATAACCAGGTTACTATCTGGGAAGAGATCAACACAGATGAAACGGATGAAAGATGAAGGGAATCTAATTGCCAAAGAAGAGAAACAAAGGAAACGATAGGCTGACCACTTCAAAAACTCTTGAATCGACCACCACCTGCACTTCGTCCAGAAATACCACCAGCAGCCACAGAACTACAAGTGAACACAAGCCCTCCGACAAGAGTCGAATTCCTGAATGCCATAAGGCTACTGAAATACGAGAAAGCAGCAGGACCAGATGGAATCCCACCAGAAGCACTAAGAGCAGACGTAGGGACAACAGCGGACATGCTCACACCACTATTTCGGGAGGTCTAGAAGGAAGGGAAGGTACCTGGCGATTGGAAGAAGGACTACCTTGTCGAACTCCCGAAGAAGGGCGACCTAATTGTTTGCAAGAACTGGCGCGGAATCACGCTCTTTTCCACCCCAAGCGAAATATTAAGCCGCATCATCCTGGAGAGACTAAAGCATGCGCTGGATTCAAAATTACGACCGGAACAGGCTGGCTGGCTGGCTTCAGGAAGAACAAATCATGTGCGGACCAAATCGCCACACTGCGCATCATCATAGAACGGAGTATAGAATGGCAGTCAAGGCCTTCGACAGCGTTGACCGAGAAGTAATTTGACAACTGTTTCAACACTACGGAATACCACAAACCTTTATCAACCTCATTCAACAACTATATGAAGCCACCGCATGCCAAGTAATTCACAGTGGAAAGCTCAGTGATGCTTTTGAAGTGAAAACAGGAGTAAGACAAGGCTGTCTACTATCACTCATGATCTTCCTGATTGTGGTCGACTGGACTGGATCATGCAGCAAACAGTGAGGAGCGAGAAGAGGGGGATACGCTGGACCGGGGAGAAGATCCTAGAGGATTTGGATTTCGCTGGTGACTTGTGTCTAATGTCGCACAAACTCGAAGATCTACAGGCGAAAACTAACAAGTTGACAGAAGAGGCAGGGCAATGAAGACGCCACCACCACCAATAACAACAAGCTCCAATCACCATCAACGGGAGAAACTTAAAGGAAGTGGCCTCTTCCACCTATCTAGGCAGCATCGTTTCAACTACAGGCGGCGGCACAGACGAGGACGTAATAACCAGGATCGGAAAAGCAAGACAGGTCTTCATTAGCCTGAAAGCGGTGTGGAGATCTGCACTCAGCATAAAGCGTGAACAAGATCCGGATTTTCAACACTAATGTCAAGTAAGTCAGTGCTTCTATGTGATGGTTTAGAGACTTGGCGCGTTACGAAAAGCATTTCCAACAGACTACAGATATTCATCAACAATTGCCTATGCTCATAACTGAAGCTCAGATGGCCAGAATACTAAGAATAAGCAACAAGGAACTCTGGTTGGCAACGAACCAATCAAGAACCTATCGCTCAACAAATATGCAGAAGGAAGTGGAGATGGATTGGGCATGCACTGAGAGGACCATTCGGGGACATCACGTGCCAGGTCATCGAGTGGAACCCAGATGGGAAACGGTGAGTTGGGCGTCCGAGGGTGACATGGAGGAGATCATATGAGGAAGAAATGAGAGCTTCTGGGCAGTTGTGGAGCCAGGTTCAAAAGATTGCAGAGAACATAGTGGAATGGAGACGTGCTATTGAATCCCTATGTTCCACCAGGAACCCAATGGACAATTAATGATAGTATCGTTGATAATACATTTCCGCACATGGCTCAGACCAACACTCAGAGACGTCATAATATCTTGTTTTAGTCTGGGCCCACCTTGCCTAACACTGCAGTACGAGGTAGACTGCAACTGGCCATACGTAACACATTCCATAGCTATATGATTCAATGAAGTTTCACATCTTCAACTGATTTACTTCTTCCTTAAAACTCTACGCCTGGCATCTACGTTACTAAGTAGTAAATTCATGACACATGGCCTATGTTGCTAGGGCATCAGTTTCCGAACACCTGAAGTCTTCTCATTCCCCCTACATTTAATGGCCATTTTTTTCAATCATATGGTGGATCAACGTGAATTGCTTCTCAGTACACATCATGTTTATTAGGTTAGGCCTGTACTATAAATGGCTTAAGTTGGCGAAAGTCAGCCAAGCCTTGTGTATTCGTGCAGAGACTATGTTAGTTACTGGCACCGCAGTGCTTATACAGGCTTTCCAGGTAAATGATGTGATGAACGCGCTCAACCAGTTCACCTCCCATTTTTATCCAGGGCACCAGTGCAGACCAGTTGTGATGCGGCATGTTGCATTGGGTCACAAACGTTATCGAATCGTCAGTCAAGGTGTCCATAAGAC